CCCCCCCCACTCTCCCGGAGCTCGTCCTGGACCCGCCTATGGCTGCGTTGAAGTGGCACAAATATAGCTGTATTCTCTGGTACCCTCTGAGCGTCCCAGACCTTCTCAATGTTAAACTATTTTTATTTTTTGCGCATAGAAGGCCTGAAAGCCAACAGTAACTTTTACTTCAGTTTCGGGACCACTTCTGCGCTGACTGTAAGAATTTGAGGAAGATTTCTGAAAACCTACATGAGACGTAATACTGTGTTCTTCTGGTGAATGCTTCTTGGATATCGCCGATGCTGAATCTGATTTCCTAATCGAATTCTCGGGCACTTTATTTCTGTTATGCATAGCAATTTCTTCTGAGTTCTTTACATCATTAGATCCAATCTCATATCTCGCCTACAAATCTCATTATTGTATTTAAAGGTAAGCAATTTCCCACAGGCAGAATAAGATGAGTAGGAATTCAGAAAATACAACCGACAAGATAGCGCAGCCACTGGGAGAGACAAGGTGGGTACTCCCATATAAGGCAGCGCTTAATTTTTGTTTTTCCTTCACAAGATGGGACTCTATCAGTTCATCGTACATCAAATTACTAATTTTACATCAAATTATCAATACTTCATTACAGTTAAAATGCCAGTTACTTTGTTACATTTTGCTTGCTCATCAGCAGACAGCTCTTGCCCTGCGAGCAATTAAGCCCCTCAGACCTCATGCACCACGCTGAATATTATTTATCTGCTATTTGCAAGTCTTATTTCAAGTAAGTCTTAAATTTATTTTTAAATTGGTGCACACTGCCAACGCACTACACCCCAAAACAATCCACCACACAGTTCAAGATGCAAGTCACAAAATTTCCACTCTATGGCCAACCGCCTCCTCGACACGATAAATGGCGCTCAGTACGGTTAAAAAAATTACGAATTCCTGACCATCATTAATTTCTCCTGCACATCCGCACTGGTAATTTCGCAAACTCTACGCAATAAACGGTTTGCATTGCCATATTTCGCAACATCAAAGCCAGCCTTTTTTGCTTCTTCTGAAAGTATAAATGAAGTCATACAATACTGCAGATTGGTTTCCAGATTCACGGCAGCACACTTACTCTAGGGTCTTCTCCCCGGAAGTTAACCAAGTCAAAAAACCGGACATGCAAACAGAAATAGTTTCAACAGTATGTTTTTGATTTATGCACAAAATGCAAGGCACCAAAAACCCGGTTTTTTCCACGCTTTCGTTTACTCCGTTTTGCATCAGCACTGACAGAGGCACAAATGCTATTGATTTCAAGCAACCGACGGCTGGGCGGCTGATCATCATTTTCCGGTGGCTCTCGGTTTTTGCCTCTGAAATGAGTGATTTCTGTACGTGTGGGATGTTAATCGGCACAGTTCCGTGTATTACTGCGGCTATCCATGCAGGCTTTTATTTCATGTCTAACTGATCTTAACTATTTTCATATGTGAGCTAGCATGGAGTAAACCTCAAAGCAAGACCTGAGCATGAGATGCTAAAAGCGCAACACCTCATGCCACATATTTCCTCAATAACTCCGCAAAAATGCATGGAAAGAGGGAAAGCAGACTCAAAAATTCTATTGTTAACAGCGACGGCAAACTCCATTCCCACAAGTAGCTCACTTGGATTTGGCTTCGCGGACCGACGGGCCGGCTTTGTTGAACGGATCGACAAACTTCAGCTTATTTCTGTTCTTCTTCTGGATTCGATGATGAACCATCGCAACTATGCCTAGTAAAAAACTGGAACCCTGAAATCGATAAATGTACAGAAATCGGTGACACGAAGGACATTTTCCTTCACTTTTTGCAATAGGAGATCAAATAAGAACGAACGAGACGAAGTATTGATGAGCGAACACCAGCAAGTTCCTGAAGAGCTGAAGCTTTGCCAAGTTCTGTCGAACGACCCACTGAGTAGCAGTTTGTTTAAAGAGGTCGCCTGCAAGATGACCACCAGGCAATAACACACTGGCCAAACCAACAGCTGGAGGGCGACGCTCTGAAATGCGGCTGACCAAAGGCTAGCGCTTCATAACGCGGCCACAAATTGTAGCTGATCCAGGTATTACAGGCAGGAATGTTGCAACATTTTCACCAGAGATTGCGTGTATCACATTCGTGTTATATTTTTATTGTAACAATTTGAACAGAACAAGTTTTCAAATAACATTTTTTGTTTTTCAGATATGACAATTTTTTTTTCTCTCTCTCTCTCAAACTTGCCAAAACATCCATGGCTGTTCAAAAAAATGAAAAAAAAAACCCGCCTACTATCACATTACAGTAAATATGCAACGAAGCGAAACGTGCTCCCCGGAATTTTTACAAGGAAGAGCTCATGTTCTATTGCTGGAAAAAAGTCAGAGCGAAATGTTCGAAAGCCCAAATGGAAAATCCCTTCATTTTGAGTAACAATGCCAGATCTGAGGAAGTCAATTTCACGTTTTGTGAATTTATTATGTTTACTGAAAATTAACAATTATTAAAAAATCATGAATAACAGACAAGTCAATAATGGATGGAGAGACTATAATCCACAGATCGATGATCTCTTACACTAACAATGTCCTGTGATAATCATCGTAAGAACACGAGCAAATCACAAAACACAGTGACATTATATCACTGAATATCACCACAAATGCATTATCACTAAACAGCTCACAATTTGTGATGCCTCAAAAATTCACAGCTCTTATGATATCGAGCACGTTATGTGCGAAAAAATCGAAAGTGAGCATCTGTCACTGCTTCTGAAGCAATTACAGAATACATAAAATTGTAAGAGCAAAAATTCCTCATTTTTCCCCTCTCTGACAGTACTGAGAAAGCAGAAAATTTTACAGATCGCAATTTGATAAAAACAAAAAAACTAGAAAAACATCCCCGCAACACCACCCATTTCTTGCTGTTCTTTAACAAATATTTCGAAGTACTGGTATATTATAGTTACTGCCAGTAAAATGCCAGTACCACTGCCAATAGCACCTGAAACGAGTAATCAGAGAAATTCCGCATAGCAATTTATCGCTGAAAATACTGTGAATGTTCAGTAACAAAATCTAAACAATTTCGTCACTCATTCACTCACTCTCTCTCTCTCTCTCTGTCTCTCTCTCCCTCTCTGAGGCAGAGGCACTCGGACGTAGCCCGCCTGGTAGCACATGCCAACATCAACCAAACGAACGCAAAACTGTCGATAACTCGGCTACACATCAATAAATATCTCTAACTGATTTTGCTAGAAAGGTAAAAATACCCATAAAATCGGCAGTAACTGATAAAGCTCCAATACATAAACCACCAAAAGCAGCCGCCGTTGGAATATACCGGTTTAGCTCGTGGATCATTGACTTCTCACGATGGCCTCGCATCACCATTTGTTGCTCTTTGAGTTGCTTTGCAACCTTTAAAAGAGGATTTTAGACGGAAGAAGACCTACGAACAAGGGCGGACAGCGAGAGAAGTGACACAGTGGACAAAAGCTTTTTCAACTGCATAAAAAATAAATGGCAACGCGCACCAGACTAGCCGGTGCGATCATGCGTTTTGTGCAATTCAGCCGATCGAACGATTGCCTGTTAATGATTTTT